TAGGCGCGTGACAATATTGCTCCGGTTCCTCATGTCAGGCGGTAGAGGGTTAAAGTAATAATATACGACGCCCCAGCTTGGAGAGCTTTTAACGACAAATCACCAACAAAAAATTTCAATTATCAACCGTCATAAAGGATTGAAATTATCACCAGTAGCCACACAGAAGTGATAAATAACCTGATATATCAGGGCGGACATCAAGCGAATAAAATTATTCACGAGTATTTGCAATAAAAACGATTTATTATTGTCGCTACGGAGAAAAATATCGTAGAAATAAGGATTAAAAGTTTGATCATAGAAGATCATGGCGGAAAAAGTCTCAGTTGTTTGAAGGAGAAATTAGATTCGTGCTCAACCTGTTACTCAGCATGGGTGAGCCGACGTTGGCCAAAAATTTATCTCTTAAACTAGCCCTGGAGTCAACGCTCAGTCTAAACATGCACAGTTTTACTCAGCCCCAGAGCTAAGAAGTCGCAGACCCCGTCAGAAACACCTCGTGCAACACTAGTTCCGTAACGGCTCAAAGCCATAGCTATAGGCCCGGTAAGTGCACAACCACTGCTTTAGGTAGCATATTCTTCATGGATGAGCACCCCCAGCATCGCCTACCTCCACATCTAACCTCCACCGGCCTGCAGCCAATGAGGTTAGGTCAGGTCCGGCTACGTTTATTTGGGTGAAAAGCTGGAGAAAATGTGACAATAGGACTATGCTTGGCTTGCAAATACATAAGTTAGTTAGTTAGTTTAGTGGCCAAATGTATCAAATGTATACTAGCGCTTCAGCTACTTAGCTATCTCGCAAGTCAAGATGAACATCACCAAAGAGACGGAAGGCCTCAGTTATCGAAAGATTCTCAAATCCAAAATGGTTGCAAATACATAAAGACCGATTTGAGCAGTGGCTGCAGACTTCGGCGAATATGGCTCTAAACACGTGACTTCATAAGCTACACTATTTTGAAGTGGGTTTTTGTACGGGAAGGTGATAGTATTATTGGTATTAGGCAGTGGTGGCCACTAGAATGCATCTCTCAGCACGACCAGGTGCGCGATAAGCATAGCGAAGCGATGAGACGCATTCAAACCCTTAACTTAGATGAAGTAGGACAAAAACCCATCGTAATTTTCGTCTCAGATGGATGCGTTCTTATGGAAAGTCTCCTTGTTTAATATTCTTCAAATCAGTTATTAGAAATACGAGCCTGGTCACACATCGTGGTGTATTTATTCTAAAAAAGAGAGCGAGAAATAATGATGTCAGGCACAGTCTATTGAAGAATGATGAAATGACAAAGAATGATATATGGTGCAGTCTATTCAAAAATGAAGAAATGACATAGAATAATATCTGGTGTTGCTAACACTAAACGCCTTAGTTGATGCCAGCTGTAACATAGCTGCACACGAACAGGAAACCACCGCAAAGCTGCAGAGATAATAACTAAAAATTAATTGTCTTGTATCGGTTACCGCAAGCAAACGGAATTATAATGAAAACATCAAAAAATCCTCAACTTAAAGCGCAACCCCAAGCTACAACCGATCTCAGAGACAAGGAAGCGCATAGCGGAAAGACGAACCGCGCGTTGGCTGGGGGTGCGGGGAGCCAACTTGCTCGCAGCGAGCCTTGCTAGCCCGCGGTGATTTGTGCCATCTTGCTTTGCTACCTTCATACAAACTCTGCGTGAGCAAATGCATCAATAGCACACCGAGTTTCGCAACAATACACAGAAAAATTTGAAATTAAATACATTCTTTCTCAATAACCTTGCAAAGCAAACATTTAATGGTAAAATGTTAGAGTAAGATGAAAAAACTAAAACGACTTTACGACTCATGGATAATGGCAGTAACAGCAAGGAATGAATAGAACTACCTGCTAACAACCAAACTCTGCACATTTTATCATATAATATCCATAGTCATGCATCAATTGTTTTCAAGAGAACACAACTATTTGAGGATAACAGTATCAAGTTTTACGTCTTGGAAGAAGTCTGTTAGCGGCATGCAATACCTTGCAACAACTCTTCAAGTAGAAATACCTGTTAACATTTATATTTTTTCTAACTTTCACGATGTAGTTTTTACATAAAATAGAAGGGTTTAAGCTAGAATATATCATATCAAAATTATATCATGAATCATAATTTGATTGACCGCCAATACAATGGACCGCGTCTTCAATCCCATTACATTTAGAGAAATAATAAAGTCATGAGGCGACACGGGCATACAAGCGACGCACGATCGAGCAAGTGAACGAGTTCTGAGTGAGGCAAACTTGCAAGCTTCGTATTCAATTCAACATAGCTTCATTGATACTATGTTCAACGTGATACATAAGAAATTATAAAAGAATATTTAATAGCGATAAAACGCTTTTAAAATATTCATCTCTCGTTTTAGTATTTTAATACTCATATCAAATAGCACTTCAGGATGAATAATTCAAACAAAAACTTGAAATTTCTGGCAAGTATTTGGCAAGCCCAATAACGATTAATTCTCTCTTTCGTCAATGTCTCCCATCGAATCAGACGAGGCAGAAAAATAATATCAATCCACGAGTTATTTTGACTCAAGCCGACTCCCTGCCAACGTCACGGACCTCATGAAACTTGTGAACTGAACAAGTTGCTAAATAGTTTGAAGATAATTATGTTCAACTTAAAGAGCTAGTTTTTCTCCCAATGATATTCAGTAACATATGGCTGGTCGACAATGCTCCATAAATCCTAGCATATTTTTCTTACTTCTTTTTCAGAAGAAATAGAGTGCACCGAATGTTGCACTGAGTGATTCATAACATGGCGCAACACTGGGTAACTAATCAGACTTCCCGATGGTGCAACACTGGGTTACAATTGCAACTCTGGAGCACTGAAAACTTGCCCAAATCGTACGTAGAAGCGAAGATAAGAACTTTCCAGTAATTGCAGAAAGTAAAATGTATAGCATAACTAAATCAAAAATATGAAAACTCGATGAGATAGGTACCATATCAAAGTGGAAAAGTTAAACTTTAGTAGAATAAAAAATGTTATAAACATAGTAAAAAAAACATTTATATGATAAATCTTTCCTTGTAACTTAATAGGAGTTAATTCTTCATCACATTTGGCCCACAAATATATCGCTAACAACTAAGCAAGAATGACCAGATGATATGTCTCACTGAAAACAGGTACAGTTAACCGCACTAAAGACCTTGCTGCGAACAACTCAGTCTCGACACGCCCATACTGAGGAAGAACTTAACATAGCTTATGGACATTCCTTCAGCACTTATATTGCAGATATTTCAGTAGCCAAAATAAGAGCATACAATTCAGAATCATGCCGACACTTTTGTAATTCTTGATAAATTTAGAAAATAAAGAAAAACTCGAAAATTTTTCAAGGTAACTCGCTTTGACTCTCATTGTTCATCTATAACATTTAATTCATACATTAATTATACTTTTGAAAAGCTATGAAGCCAAACCAAACAGACCATCGAGGGCAAATTTTTTCTCTACTAGTATACTGTTCAAAATGCAAGAAAATAATATTGAACGATGGTCTGATGACGGCAAATTAGGCACAAGCCACTAATAGACCCACGAGTTGTCCACTGAAAATCATGAGAAATTCGCCGAGATTTTGAGGTGCAGAACAGCGTTGCGACGGCGCGAGGAGTGAACCGAGAGCAGCTACACAGCGCTGTCCTGTGGACGGTAGCAAAATACAATACAAGCAAATAATTTACCTCTATGCCTCATGTCATTTTTTTTTTTTTAGAAACTGATGCCAACAAATTCATGCGGAGAATGTAAATAATCAGACTCGCTGCATCCAACAATCATTGAATATTGAATCNAGAATGTAAATAATCAGAATGGCTGCATCCAACAATCATTGAATATTGAATCATTTACACACAAACCAACCTGCCTGTCGTCCTCGAGAACCCGTGTTGCCGCCAGCGGGTAGCCATTCTCTGTCGGATAAATGAAGCAATCAAATAAAAGGCCAGCAATCCTAATCTCATGAGAGCCAAATTTGATCCTCACATTTGAAACGTTAGAGGCAGTTCAAGAAAACGTTAGAGGCAGCCTGAATTGTGTGGCTGCTAGACTACTCAGAAGCTACAACCATCCTTCAAACAGTGGCACTCAACTTTCCCCGCTTTCCTCCTACCGCTCGCGCATCGGATCGTGACGAGCTTCAAGCGTGACGAGCTGTGGTGGTGCAGTGGTGAGAGACTCTCGCACCCAGCGCCCGCGTTCGAGTCCCATTGAGGACAAGTTCTACCGGGAAGCTCAGCTCATGGTCAACTCAGCCATTCATCCAACTCTGGTTGATAAATGAGTACCTGGCTTGTCCAGGGTGTTGTGTAATGCAATAAAATGGTTCTGGCGGGTCAGCGAGCCAGTGATGGTCGTAGAACTACCAGCGGTACCGAGTGCCCGGAAAAACTGACCTATCACCCGTTCTCCCTAGTCGCCACTGCCAGGATGGGCAATTACAACAACAACAACGAGCTTCAACGCAAGGCAACCGCCAGCCCCCATCAACACCATAGTCCGCTAGCTCGGTCGTTTTCTCACGGCATCTACCTCGGAACCCATTCACTGTTTAGGCCAGACCACGCAGGATTCCCCCAGGTCACCAACGTCATCTCAGTCTGCCTGATACCGTACCTGTCTTGAATGTTGCCTCATACACTGATAACCTCATCATCTTCGTCTCTTCGCGAGGCTCGACGCTAACCTGACGGCGTTTCACCTGGTGCAAATCTGACTGGTCCGCTTCCAAAAAATTGATCATAGCCCCCGGCAAATCATCGGTTACACTCTTCATGCCGACATACATCAACCCTATTCATACTATTTAGCTTTATCTGCAACAGCGCCCTCCCTCCAGGACTATACACAGAAAATCCTAGGACTTCCCTGGGATACTACGTCTAAGCCAGGGCTATTTTAAATCGTCCAACCTGCCCAAATGTTATGTAAGAACCTGGGTTACTTTAAATTGTCCCACATTCCTGAGTCTTATTTGAAAACCCAGAGTTTCACTAAGAGAAAAAAAAGACAAATATTTTTTCTCATTTTCTTTCATTATTATGTTGTTCTGAGTGCCTGAAGTCTCTCGTACAGGCGAGTCCTGGTCCGCAGTCAGCGGCGGGTGCACGCAGCGCATCGTGAAGAGCGCCAGCGACCCAACGATGGGGGGAATACCGGCCATCAGGAACGGCAGGAAGTAGCTGCCCGTCAAGTCCTGCAACCAACCTGCGCGGGGGAGGCAATGCTTTAAATAAGTATTAAGTATTATTGTGAGGTCTACCGAGCAGCGGGCACGCCAAATATCAAGATTTTTAAAGTCGGTTTTTCGAGTCTCGCACTAAAACTGCAAATAAAAATTCAGGAATTTGCTTATGAAACATTCTAACTAGTTTGGATTTGAACCATTCGTAAGTTGAAGTTCACTCAATTAAATATTCTCCTGTATTTTGGTTGTCACTTCACCGAAGGCTCGAATAAAAAGAGTACATTTCTTCCACGAATAGTCAATCTATTTTAGAGAACTAATGCTGCAATCTTAAATAAAATTATAAGGATTACCACTAAACGAATTGCACATGTTGCCTGTTACTGTAAGCAATATGTGGCATTTGAATATTCATCTCCTCGAATGCTCAAAAATGGTAGACGAGTACCAGCAAAAACTGGACCGAAGGTGAGCGGTATCGAGCACATGGCCAGCAGACTGCCAATGGCCTGAGGTGCCCCAGTTGGACCGACGATGTCAAAGGCCACGGGCCCCAAGAGGGAGATGAAGCAGCCATCGAAGAGACCCATGCCCAGAGCCAGCACCACAAAAAACCAGAAGTTCGACCACGCGGTCATAAGCATTGTGAAGCTGCCTATGCAAAAGAACGATATCTGCCCAAATAATAAAGTCATTAAAACAAGTACTGAGAATCTAAGAACGTAGACGAAACTAAATTGTTTTGTATAGGAAAAATTATGCATATATTTTCTTACGAAAATGATACTTGCTAACCGTTATGGGACAAAACAGGTTAAAACTTTGTTGAAAATCTTCATGTAAAAGAAGTGGATAAGCACCTGCTGAAGCATGATGCGGTTCACCCACGGTCTGTCAGCGATGTATCCGAACAACAGACGACCGAGACCGGACGTGGCGCCGATGCACTGCACCAGCACCTGCGCCTTCGTGTCTTCACCAAGAACCATCTTCGCGTACGCCACCTATAATGTAAACCCACAGGTTTTGAAATGAGTTTCCATGTTTCATAAGTGAACATTGTAATTAATATTAGTAATAGCTAATTGAAAAAGGAAAAAATTGGTATACATAGTTAATAATAAAAAATCACGATGATAATTTCAACAAGAGTTTTTTTTTCAAAAGGGCATTAGAAATTATATAGGAAAATATGAGAACACCAATGAACCATCATGTAGATTTTGGTTTCTATTTAGGAAGGAGCCCTTCGTTCAAGCACATTTCATTAAAAATAATTCAGGTTTCAATTAAAATTTCTTGTAATGAAACTTCTCCAGTTGCCTAAACTTACTAACTACTGTTGCTTATAATTACGTATTTTTAAATTTCGCCAAAGTGTACGCGGGTCAGTCATGCGCATACGAAACAGACGCGGCAGTCTTGAAACAAATCCTTATAAATGACACCAGTTGCGCGAGTGGAAACGGCCGGATTCATTTGATTATGTACTATAAGTGACCTGCAGTAACAAGCTTAAAGAAACAACACAGTACCAAATCAGCCCACACTGAAGCAGTCCAATGTCATGTACCAATGAAGCAGTCCAATGTCATGTACCAATGAAGCAGACCAATGTCATGGACCAATGAAGCAGACCAATGTCATGTACCAATGAAGCAGACCAATGTCATGTACCAATGTACCAAAGAAGCAGACCAATGTCATGTATCAATGAAGCAGACCAATGTCATGTAGTACCAAAGAAGCAGACCAATGTCATGTATCAATGAAGCAGACCAATGTCATGTACCAATGAAGCAGACCAATGTCATGTACCAAAGAAGCAGACCAATGTCATGTACAAATGAAGCAGACCAATGTCAACGACTAACTATGCATCTAGGTTCCGGAGGACCCAAAGCCCACGCGGAATATAACCATGGCCCCACTCTTACACGGGATGAACTTGTACAAAACACCATAATCTTAAGCCACACAACAGTTTTCAACAAGTTACAAATAATGAAAGTAATTTTGACTTTACGAAACCAGCCATTCCTAAATAGCCAAACAACCTTATCCCAACAAACCCTGAAGCCTCATAGTTAGAAGTTTGCATCCCGACTGTACACGAGAGCTCATCTCGCAGGGCCGACAATGTCTTCAATCAGTCTCTTGTTAGCGCCATCACATCAACATTCTACTCTCACATCACATCCTAATCCGCCCGAAGATGCTCAAAGTTGAGAGAAACGTGCCGCAAATTTTTGAACATAAATCCTTTTGGCGAAATTTTAAAATTATTTGAACCTACAGTAGTCAGAAAAGTTAGGCAACTAGAAAATTTAAAAGAGTAAATTTATGCAAACCCGGAATTATTTGTAGTGAAATTTTGTTTTTTATTCACGTGACATAACTAGGGGTCAAAATATTTTTCATAGCCTTGCTCACCAGGTGAACATAGGGAACAAAATAACCAAAAAGAGCGATGGGGATGCACAAGGTCCAAATCACAAAGCGTTTGTTTCTCCAAATTTCGAAATTGATGAACTGGGAGACAAACTTCTTGAACTGGTTTTTGAGAGTCCGCGAGCTAGCAGCAGCGCCTGCATCTCCAGGAAGAGCGCCCTCTCGAGGACGGACAGCTAGTCGAGGTTTGAAGATGAAAGCACACACCTGAAGCCATAATAATACAATAATGATCACAACTGAGAAAAATTTGATGACAACCAATTAGAAACATTAAAAAGTTCCAAAGGGAACTGGTAATGACCAGTAATTGAGGATGACCCCAGAATTTAATGTGTTATATATGAAGAAATCTTCAAGAGTAAATGCTAGAACTTTGTATAAAATAAATTTGGAAAAGTAAAAATGGAAGATGAATAATAATAACATCTGCATCTGTTCACAAAGCCAAACAATATCAAAATAATGGTGAAAATAGTAGGTAGCATTAGATAGAAAGAAGATATACCTAGTACCTGTGTTTGAAGTCAAAGATCTTCATTTTAAAATTATTGGCTAAAAATTAAAATTGCAGTTTTAGATCAAAAAAGTAAAAAACTCAACAAATACTAGGAGCAAGTCGAAATTTGCATGAACAAAATAATTTGCAATTGGAGTTGAATATCATCAACAAACTGAGAAACTGCAAAACAATTCACATGCGAGTGTAAGTCCAGTTGCTGAGAAGCGACTATCCAAGGCACTATTCATATCAGAGCACACATACTATATAATTTAATATACATTTTACTGTGCATCAAGTTAGTTCCATTCATTGACTCTCACCATGAGTAGGGATACAATGGCAGCCAGTATTTGGAAGAGCACTTTAAGGCTATAAAGACGAAGGATGTACTCAAAGAGCATAGGCATCACGATTGTGAAGAGAGAGGATCCTGCCGTCACAAAGCCATTCACAATGCCCATCCGCCTTCTGAAGTAGTGACCAAGGATCACCAAGGAAGGAGTATAGGCAAGAGATCCTCCAAATCCTAGCAGCAGTCCATATGATATTGTCAGATACTCAATCTGGAAATGACATCAACATCATCAAACGTCAATAATTTTTTTATTTCTTCACAGCATTGAAATCATGAAACAAAGATAGGTAAAAATCAACAGCTTCAATCCCAATAAGTATTTTAGTCCAAGCATACGAGAAAATATTACAAATTCTAATGGCTTTACTAACAGTAACATCCAAATCCTACAAGTATTCAAATGCAGTGAAGAATCAGAGACAGAGGATAGAGACCAAATTTCAAATAATAGGTACCGGTACTATATGAAAAAATTACTGTAGGTACAGTACCATATGTAGTGATTTTAAAAATATATAATCTCAACAGCATGCAGTTGTGAATGCACCAACATAATTTCACATAAATCAATTTTGCACTCTGCACCTTATGATATACAAGTGATGAAATGAACAACCCTGCAGTAGCAATTGCACCACCAATGCCTGTGGTGAGCCGCACACCCAGCTTATCTGTGAGCACCCCCGACACCAGCGACATCAGGAAAGTCATCCCAATTGTCAGCGACAAGCAAAATGCTGGAATAATGAAATAAGCAAAGCATAATTTTATATACAGTAATAACAATTAATGAATTATTATTAACCTACAATTATTAATAAAAACATTTTAATTGTCAAATATTTTGTAGCAAGATAACTTCCAAAACACAGGTCTTTATTTACCACCATGATTGCACAAAACATTAATTTAAACTTGAATGTACAAGTAGCCTGCAAAAATTCATAAAAAATTTTCCCCAATAGTCAAAAATGTTCAAGAATGAAATTTGAATGGCATCGCCTAACAGAGAATATATTACCAGTACTGAAATGACATATGTAAATGCCTGAAAATTTTTACAATTCAAACAGATAAGATGGGGAAATGTAGAATTCATAAAAAAAACTGGGATAAAATTTCCTTACTTACAGGCTTTTGAGGCAGGGTTTTCAACTCCATTAGCTTCAAGGTCATCTTTTAGAGCTGCAAATATAACTCCACTGGAATTTATTGTACCAAAGAGGATGCCATTGCAGAAGAATGAGGCAATCATTACAAGCCAGGCCTGCAGACCTCCATCGGGAGGTTCTTGCTGAGGAGGTATGGACAGCATGGGAACTGCTACAGCAGAGCATTGTGACAGCCGCCGTCCAGAACCACCCCTGTGTGTGAAGAAGTTAAAAGGGAAATACTGAGATAAATTTTACAAAGAATCTCTGTTGATGTCTCAGGAGATAAATCAAGTGGCAAGCTGTCATTAGGTTCACGTTTATTAAAAATCATATACTCACTTTTCTTTACAACTGCTTGTAGGGGTTGTTGCAATAGTAATGGAAGTGGTAGCAATTGGAGGGGCTGAGGGAGGGATGAAAGCATGAGTTTCTTTGCTGCAATCAGCAAGGCCTAAATTTTTTTCATCATCTTCTGACATTTGGGATAATTTTTTGTGATTTCTCTGTGAAAAAAAATACTTTAAACATTTATTTTTTTGTGACTCAACTTCTTATCCCAGACTCTATTTAGAATTTAATATAAATTTAATGGAAATGTTATTATTCTTATGAATAATGCCATTATTCATAAGAATAGGTAATAAGATATACAGAACATCTATGGATTGCTAGCAAAAATGCACCTACAGTGTCAATTATTAAATTCTGGTTGAGCAGGTACAAGTGACACCACCAGCTCCATGCACATTTTAAAAAGTCACAGGAACACTTAAAACAGGTTAGTTCTAGTGAAGAATACATCTACTCTCTGAACCACAAATGGATGTTTTGAGACGTGATTTTATGGATTTGCAAGCTGTCATTCCATTTCTTTAAGCCATGACTAACATATCCCAGCAATATAAAGCCATTCATGAGCAGCAAACTAATTTGCAGAGCCCTGTGCATGACTGCATGTGTTACCCAAAATCTCCAATTTTACTCTAGAAACAGCAAAAAGAACATTTGTCTATACTATAAAGGCTACGGTACTGAATATGGGACTATGCATCATTTATATTTATTTGACAAATTTAATTTATTCATTTTATTTGACACAAAAAATTTTATTAGATGTTTATTTTTCGACATTTTATAATGCAGTCTGATGCGACCATGACGTTTTGGGTTCACTCAGTCATTATGCAGGATATTTTGGCAGGAGCATGGTGGATGGTGCTAGATAAACAGCAAACATTAGAAAACTAGTTAAATTACAAATTTACAAATGGCAATTTCTTCAATCAAACAGAAATACATTAGAATAGAGCCACAAGATTTCATACCTAATGAAATTATATGATATTAGGACCAAGATATTTCAGAAAAAAGTAGGACTTTTCCAAAAAAATAGGGTTGGTTGGTTTACTTGGTTACCACATGTCCATCACATACATGGCCCAAGATTTACTAAGTATTTACTTCTTATTTATTCTTATGGGACAAATGGGAGTACTGGAAACTGGTCCACTGTACATGGTCCATGAAGTCCTAATTCCTAAACAGGGTTTAATTAGTGCCTAACCACTCTGAAGTCTGAAGTGAAAATCTAAAAAATGTATATAAAAACACAAAAAATAATAAAAAAATTATAGAAAATAAAATACCTTACAATACAATGAAATTATAAAATAGAAAATGCAATAACATAAACCAACAATGATACAAAGGATCCAGAAGAAATATTGCTTAATGATATTGTACTATAATGACTAGGCCTGAATCCGCCTAAATATCAGTGTTGGAATACATCTTTTTTTTACAGAAATTTCGCAGCCCGAGATCTCCCATTTTTAGGTAAGTTTGAAATATCGCGGCTCTAAAATGGGTCACGTGACCGTCGTGACGTGTGGGGGAGGGGCAAGCCCGCGTAGGCAGTTGTTGGCTGCAAAACGATAAAGAATCGTGCACCGGCCGATGTAGATGAAGAAACGTATCACTGTATCATTTGAGCTCGTGTTGTTTTCACGTGCCGTTGTGCAGTGATAACTCCTAAGTTTTAATCCAGTTTCCACAACAACTAGACTTGGCGCCGGTAGGCGATGCATGGTGGCTTGATACCTGTAAGTATTTTTATCATCATATACATATGGCCTTATCAATAGTTTGTTTCAAACAGAACGTGGATTAGTAGTAGAATTATATTGTGAATGGTCTTTAAAACGATTCAATTGTAAAGTTCAGAAGACTATCCCGATGTATCTTACCAGCCGTATTCTGTCTGTACACGAAACTTGGAAGAAATTATACATGACCAATGCTTCTTAGCTCAAATGCATTGTTTCAATTTTAAGCCTCTAATCTATGTACTTCTAAATTATTTCTAGAAAATTTCATTACTCGTTTTTAATTTGATGAAAAACTATTGAATAGTTTATGCCGCATACAAATTTATTGACCAAAAACGTTTACCATCCTGAAATGAGGTCGGACTGCATGTTTGGTAGTTCTCAGTTGTTTTCTCAGAGCCTCTACCTCAGAACCCGCTCACTCTTTAGGCCAGGCCACGCAGGAGTCCCCCAGGGATCCGTGATTTCCCTGTACTCTTCACCAACCTCATCTCAGTCTACCCGATAACTGTCTTGAATATTGTCTCATACGCTGACAACCACACCTTCGCTACATCTTCGTCTCCTCGCTGACCGGACGGCGCTCCAACTGTGCGTATCTGACTGGTCCGCTTCCAAAAAGTTTACCATAGCCTCCGGCAAATCATCGGTTACACTCCTCATACCATTTTCACACAACCCTATTCACCCAATATCATCACCACACAGCAACTTATTCACACAATATCGCCTGGATCTGCAACAACTTCATTCCTCCATTACAATAAAGAGAAAATCCTAGGAATTACCTGGGATACTACACCTTAGCCGGGCTATTTCAAGTTGTCCAACCTGCCCAAGTTTTATGTAAGAACCTGGGTTACTTCAAATTGTCCCACATTCCTGAGTCTTGTTTAAAAACCCAGAGTTTCACTAAGAGAAAAAAAAGACAAATATTTTTTCTCATTTTCTTTCATTATTATATGCATGAGCTGATGAGATTGTAATGCTAACTGTAGGTCTTCTAACTCTTCTTTTTTTATTCTTATAGGTGCACTGGAAACTAGTCCATAAGGCCTCTTGCCTAAACTGGGTTTAATTGGTACCTAACAATTTAACAGCTCTGAAAGTGAAAATCAGTAAAAACGTGGTACAGGGAAGTGAGGGAACAGTGAAAATTCCTAACTGTGGGTCCAGCCTGAGGCTCTGACTCTGAGCCTGGGCTACTGTGCAGAGAGTGGATGAATATTGCAAGATCTTTGGCGACGCTTCAGTAGCAAAATTTATGCCTTCAGAAGATCTTGCTGACACATTTAGATTGAAATTCTTTCATTTAATATATTTGTCAGTCTTCGGCCAACTATTTAAAAAAAGTAAGGTTTCCGGTATGTTGGATTGATCAGTATGCATTGAAGCTTGTCCGGAAATCAGTTGCAATGAGTTCCCACCAAAAAAATTTAAACATCAAGTTTATGATTATGTAGTTGCGGTCACATTAGAGTGGTCAGACTGCATTATCACATGTTCAGTTGACACTTGCTGTACAATCGAACTTTTTTTAGGGTAAAATTAGTTATTTGGAGTAACACGTGCATGCAGTGTGGAATTCTAGAGGGATATTAAATTAACCAGTACACATAGCATATTGGAAAGCAGGACCTGAAAGCTTGGAAAGGCCAGGAACTTTCCACTTTCAGTCCATCATATCATATACATAATCTATCACTTTCCAGCTGTGATTGGTTGATGGGATTGTAATTTTAGCCCCTTCCAGCTTTCTGGCTGTGATTGGTTAATGGAATTGTAATGTTATCTGCTTTCTAGCTTTGATTGGTTGATGGGGATGCTTTCAAGCTGTGATTGGTTGATGGAGATGCTTTCAAGCTGTGATTGGCTGTGCCCATAAGCCCCGCCCCCAAATATGGTATATGTCTACAGTACTGGTTAACTAAATAGGTATTCAACTTGAACTTGATCATTACAAACAAAAAGCCTGGATAATTTTCAAAAAATCCATTAAATAAAAGAAAAATAGAAAATTTCTATCAAACAATTTTACAACAAATCTAAGGTACTGTACAATTGAAACAGTATGTCCACTTTTGATCCTCCTTTTCATTTATAGTCAGTCACCTGGCACTTGCCACTTGGCAGAGCACTGTATCTAAGGAAAGCATTCCACCTTGGGTGCCACTGTGCAGAGAGTGGATGAATATAGCAAGATCTTTGGTGACGCTTCAGTAGCCAAATTTTCGCCTTCAGAAGATCTTGCCGACACATTTAGATTAAAATTCTTGCATTTAATATATTTCTCAGTCTTCGGCCAAATATTTAGAAAAAAGTAAGGTTTCCGGTACGTTGGATGGATTACGATGCAGCAAAGCTTGTCCGGAATTCAGTTGCAATGAGTTCCCGCAAAAAATGTGAACGTTTTTTCGATTGCATAGTTTCGGTCACATTAGAGCGGTCAGACTGCTTTATTACATGTTCAGTTGACACTTGCTGTACAATCGGACTGTTTTTAGGGTAAAATTAGTTATGTGGGGTAACACGTGTTTTGCAGGGTGTCCACTTGGAGTGGACTTAAAGCCGCAGGTCTGCCAGATGGATGACATCATGACCGTTGGGCCTGACATAGTGACAAAGCACAGATTTTTCAGAATCAGTTCATTTTTAATTTCCTCATTTACTTCAGATTTATACCAATTTCTTATGTATAAATAGTATAATAATGCTGGTATCCAGGATACTTTACTTGTCTACTTATAGGACTCAAAAATGAACTTGAGGGAGAGTCTAAAAACTCTCTGCTTTGCCACTATGGGGCCTGACCACTATGCAGAGGGTGGATACAGCGTCGTCAATATATGGATTTTTAAGCCCAAAGCGTCGCCGGCCATTTTAAAGATGCATCGCTGGGTAATTTTTAATGAAAAGCCATTTACGCTGAGTAATGACGAACTATTTACAAGCCACAAACTTAGTTACAAGGTTGCATGCACGTGTTACCCCAAATAACTAATTTTACCCTGAAAACAGTCCAATTGTACAGCAAGTGTCAACTGAACATGTAATAAAGCAGTCTGACCGCTCTAATGTGACCGAAACTACGCAATCGAAAAAAACGTTGTTTACATTTTTTGCGGGAACTCATTGCAACTGATTTCTGGACAAGCTTTGCTGCATCGTATTCCATCCAACGCACTGGAAACCTTACTTTTTTTCTAAATAGTTGGCCGAAGACTGAGAAATATATTAAATGCAAGAATTTCAATCTAAATGCGTCGGCAAGATCTTCTGAAGGCGAAAAATTGGCTACTGAAGCCACTCTCTGCACAGTGGGGGCCTGAGAGCTTATAGCTTGTGGTTTTCAGCTTCTTTGTGTATGAAATTAATTGCTGTGCTGCCATC